CGCGTACGCCGTTGAAATCATTTGGTCTGGCCCTGCCAAGGCAACTGCAGGCTGGACTCAAAATTCAATAAATCTAGGAGCTTTTTTCATAGCTAATTTTTAAGTTGATAATTTTGTGCGGCCCTTGAATGATGTTATAAATATCCAGATGGCCCTTGGCAGAAAAAAAGGTTCCTCATCCCTGCCCTACATCAAGAATTTAAAAGGGAAAAGAGGTTTGGAGAATCTGCTGAGCTGATAAAGACATAAAATTAGTGAGGGTATCCTAGAGAAGCGACCGAGGCTTGGCAAGTGGAAGAATTGATGGGTTCTTTTTAAAAGTAGTTCTGAGAAGCCAGCGTCAGCTTACAGTAGCATGAGCCCTCTTAACATGCCACCGAAATTTCATCAGTAGTAGAGCAAAGACGTGAACACGTATTAGACAAACGCTGAAGCAGCAGCCTGCGGCCGAGCATTAAGCGGAGGTGCTGCATTGAAAAGTTGCTTGTCACGAGCTCCTGTGTAAAATAGGTGGCCGGTGATGACATTAAGGACATCTCTAAGTGCTAAGTGCTCTGGAGCCCAGGGCCCTGCAAGAGCAGTCAGCAGTGGCTCATGCAGGGGCACATTAGCCAAGGCTTTGTGTCTGTCCCCTGCCACCCCCACTCATCCCTGCTCCCTCCCTGATGCTGTTCGTTGTTTGTTAGCAGCTCCACCAGGACGAGAGAGGAAAAGGAAAGAGTCTGCTGCTTCTGTTAAATATCAGTGCGTTACATTTTGATGACTCTGGAGTTAACTAGCTAAGTCTGTTGCGTCACCACGAGCTTAGAGGTCTTCTGAATGGGTCTCATATGTTGAATTTTTTTCCGTTCCTCTCTTCTTCCCCTATTTATTCTTTGCCTCAGGAAGTGTGTCCTGAAGATCTATTATGATTTATACTGTGAAAGATACTGCCAGGTTCACAGAAAACAATGCAAAATAGGTATCTCTGGTCTCCAGAGGTTGAATTGGGGGAGTGGGGAGATAAGGTGACCGACTCAGAATGTTCATTGTAAGCAGAACAAGGGTGAACACCCAACAGGGAAGATGCTTCTCTTGATTATTGATTGAATGGTTACAAATCTGACAGCTCAGAACTTGCCTCTGGGAAATTACTGCCTAGGACAGTTTTCAAGGTGTGGTTCCCCCACCACTTGCGGAGGAATTACCTGGTCTGTATTTAAATAGGCTGATGCCTGGGCTCAGAGCTACACGGTCAGAATTTTAAAAGGTGGACCCTTAAATCTTAATGTGTTTAATTAGCACCAAGGGGTTCTTAAACATATTAAAATTTGGGAATAACTGACCTTGTGGAGGAGACAGACAAGGGAACCCAGACTGGTATCAGTAGGTAAATACCGTGTTAGTGGACATGAAAGGATTGTGACCGCAGAGGACCAGGGGAAAGGAAGATGCTGCTCTTTGGTCTTGCTCAGGATTGCTTGGCAGCAGGGGTGCCAGACACGCTCTTAATCCAGAGAAGTGATGGGTCCCCAGAGGAAAAAAGGGGAGGCACAGAAGGGACCTGTGGGAAATTACTCACTCGTTCAGACCTCTGTTCAAATAGTGCCTTCCTAGAGAGCCCACCAAAATCACATCTAAAATGACTTTTGTCACTCTCCTTCCCCTGCCTGAGTCCTCTTTAGAGCACCTGACAGTGGAGTTTGTCTGTCTCATCTACTAGGTTAGAAGTTATGAGAGACTTTGTCACTTTTGTTCATAGCTATATCGCCACTATCTGGAAAAGTAGTTGGCACATAGTAAATGCTCAGTAAACAACATAATGAAGGCTCCAGGAGGGCAGATGGATCCACACAGGCCTCATCTCTCAGCTGATCAAATTAAATTGCTTTGAGAAGCTGCAAGAATCCCAGGGATTCTTGTAGCCTTTCTCTCCCTTTCTTGGCAGATGGTAACATGGGAAGGAGCCACCAGAAGCCCTGATCGTGTTCCCCAGCTCCCCAGCTCCCCAGCTCCCCGGCTCCCCTTCAGACAAGCATTTGTGTAATGCATGTCCCTCCCCTCCCAAGGCCTGCAGAAACTCGCTTCCTAGTATTTGAATCCTGGGAGCCTCAGAGCCTCTTAGTTTGATGTGAGGCTTCCCAGAACATTAAGAAACTATTTGAGGAATGGAACAGGGAACTTGAGGGAATGAGTGTGGTCTGACTGAGGGGGGCCAACTACAGCTTCAGAGAGGGAAGGTCAGGACTCCGGAGCCCGCTGGAATCCTTTGAAGCCCTTGCCACCGGGGAGAACGAGTGTGCAGTGGGATGTCTTGCATGGAAGCCCAATTTTCCTGAAAGCTTTTCCACAAAATGTTCTGAATCACAGGTTAATGTATAAGACATGAGTTGTAAGTGGAAAGTTGGCGAAGTCCTTTGGAAATTGACTAAAGGGCAGGAAACAAAGGGTAGCAGTAAAAAAAAAAAAACAAAAAAAAACCTAAAAGGATGTTAATTAGGGAGTGCCTCAGGGAACGCGGTCAAGACCAGCTTTTTATTATTTACATAAAAATTACTTGGAGAGTGGTATTGAGAGGGATTTTCATGTTGGCTAATGAAACTGCATTAGAGAGCTGTGTGTGGAAATGCGAATGGTGGAATTAAGGGAGGATTCAATTTATTGACAGAATTGAAAAGGAGTGTTTTCTAACATTTCTATTTATCAACCCACACCCATTCTGTTCACCAGATTTCCAGTTGAGTAGTGGGCAGGAGAGCTTCAGCTGTAACAACTCCAACCTCCGCATTTTTGAGGCCAGCAGAGAGTACTTGAAGAGATTTTGGCATCCTGCACACAGGGCAGGTCCTGAAATTAAATGGATGTTATATTCAGAACCTAGAAACCTCTCTTTTAGAAGGAGCAGGAAGGCAGATAGAATCTGCTGTTTAGCTACAAGCATCAGATCGGGCCACCTGACATCCGTATCTGCCCACTTCCTTTTACTTAACATTTTCTATCCTATGGAGCTCAAGTTACCACAGAAATTCATTGTAGAAATACCCCAATAGTAAGCCAGCAGTCTTTCTTAAGCAAAGTTACTGCTTACCCAGTGAGCCAGGTCTTGACGTTGGGAGCCCAGGAGTGACCTTCGGTGTCTTCTCTATAGCCTACCTCGGGAAATAGTCTATGCAGGCGTCACAGAGGCCGCTGAGCCCTTACCTTCCCTGTTACAAACCAGTAGGAATCCTCTCCAGCCTTGGTACTCAAAGTGTGGTCCGTGTACCCGCAGCCCCAGGAGCGTGAGGGAACAAGTGAGAAACGCAGCCTCTCAAGTCCCAGCCCAGAACGGAGTTAGAATCTGCATGTTAGCAGCATCCCCAGATGGCTTCTATGCATTTGAGAAGCCCTGCTCTAAGACACCCAGAAGCACAGAAAGCAAAGCTAAGGGCATTTGGTTGCTTCTGTAAAGTGAAAATTGGCCCATGCGAGTTTGGTGGCCTAAGGATAGAATTCTGGGACTTTGCGGTCTGTAAACTTAAGATCCCCCTCTTATTTTCTTTCATTTGGCCTCCTAAGGCACCGTGCCTTCTCCGGAATGTAAACATCCTTAAGTGAACAAGCCTTTTGAGAAAGTGTTAAAAGCCATGCTAGTAGTGTATCGCCGAGTGCTCTTCCCCTGCGTGTGGTCCCCCTGGGCCATTAGCTAATTGTTACCATCTAGTTCTCAGGCCAAAGGGGCCTGGGGCCTGGAGGCTGCTTTTCAATTTTGCTCATTTTCCGAGGGCTCTGCGGGTAGGTGCGGGGCACCTTGTTTTCTGCTGCGGGGTGTAGGCTGTTAGTCCACAGGACCAATCCCTGGGGCAGGGTGTCACTGGCCTGGGAAAGCCTCTCTAAAACATGGGCTTGGCTTTCAAAGACACGGAACCGAACAGTTTGCAGGCCTCTTAGAATTGTGTCCTCTCTAGAGCTGCGGTGATGTGATGATGACTGCGACGGGGCCTGGGAGCAGCTGCCTGCACTGCCCTCCTTCCTCTCCCTCCCCTGCCCTCGCCCACAGCTTTCACTCAGACTTGTTTTTAGAAAATAGGATAGAGCAGTGAGGGGGCTGAAGGAGCTGGAAGGTTGGTGAAATTCTGCCGTTGTCCTCGGCTTGTGAGGTGGCGTAGGCAGCTGCCGACAATGAAATCCCAAACTCTTTCTGCCTGCACCCCGCCAAAACAGTTGTGGCCTAACCCAAATGAGGCTTGATTTTTACTCTTACTGGTTTTGCCAAGATTACTCTGTTCTTTTCAAAGAGTTTCAGTGGATGTTGAAATATCCAAGTCACTCCAGGTACCAGAGATGAGGGAAAACTTAAAGTTTGCCGAGACACGCTTTGGAGATTCCGACTTAGCATGTGAACATGTGTCTGTTGTAATTTAGGCTAGATTGAGGCTCCTGAAACCGGAATGTAGCATCAGAGCCCCATCCTTACATGAGACGAGTCCCCTGGGCCTCAGACAGGTGAGCCAAAAGGTGGTTCAGTAAATGCTTTGGATAAAGCGTGCCTCCTTAGTCCTGGAGCAGTACATACAGAGCAACTCCTGAGGATCCGAGATGGCCTTCTCTCCCCACGCACTGCGAGCTGAGAGCAGGGAATCTGCTGTTCATCTTTACACCTAGAGCACCTGGCCCAGCGCAGGCCCTTCATTAATGGACGTGTGAAGGAAGGAAGCAAGCCTCCGGCTGCTCTTCTGGCCAGCATAGCACCTGTTGTCAGTGTTCCAGCACCGTCTCAGGCATTACATTTTCAGTTCATTTCTTCTTTGTCAAACTATTAAGCCAGCCCACCTGTTGGGCCCCATATATCTATCTGTACAGCAAGTCTCCAAAGGAGGCTACCCTGGCCACAAAGCTTGCTGCACAATAGGATATCTCACGGTGCGTGCCTGCAAACCACCAGGCTGGACAGGAAAAGGGAAAGGAGTTCAGAAGTCACTTCGTTATGGGGGGTAACGTGCTTACAACTTCTTAGGCAGGAATATTCCTGTTCATTTCAGGTAAGAGTCTACGATCTCTCCAAATATGAGCATGGAGCAGATGATGTGCTGATCCTGGCAACCGATGGACTGTGGGATGTCTTATCAAATGAAGAAGTGGCAGAAGCCATCACTCAGTTTCTTCCTAACTGTGATCCAGATGACCCTCATAGGTTTGTGCATCTCTCTTGTTATAGGGTAATTTCTTGAGCAGTGTTTTATAATGTGAGTGAAATTAATAATAATCATGCGTTTTAAACATTCATGATTTATAGTAGAGCTAATAGGGATGGATGATTTAGTAACCAAACCGCAGAAGGGACTATACTTCCTATTAAAGGGACATTCACAGCCAAATAAAACTCCTCCTCAAGTTGAACCCAGGTTCAAGTGGTAAAGAACTTGATTTGTAAGATATTTCAGTATCTTAGTTCATATCCTCCAACAGGGGAACAGTCTGCGATCCTCCTGATAGGAGTGATAGCAAAGGCTCCCAGCAGATATGTTCATCCACTGGAGAAACAGTGAGAAAATTAAAGTAGGTATTCCTTTCTAGGATAAACAACCCTAAACAACGCTAAACTATCCTAAACAACCCTAGGTGACTCCCAGATATAAACGGAAATCTCCTCTGGAGAAACAGTTTTCACTCAACACAAGGACACAAGTCACCATGAGTAAAAGCCAGACAGCAGAGTTGGACCTATAAATACTTCATCATTGGACTTACAGTCAAAAATATAAGTAAATATTTTAACATGTTTCAGAAATGTTTTTAAAAGCATTGGAAATATGAACAAAGATAAAAGACTATAAAATGTCTGCAAAGATTTAAAAAATAAGGAAATGGAACTTCTGGAGATGAAAAATATAAAAATAGGTACTAAAAATTCACTGGATTAAAGAGATTAGAGACAGTTGAAGGGAACACTAGTGAACTGGAAAACAGATCTGAATAATCCAGAATATGGCTCAGAGAGACCAAGAGAAGGAAAAATGTTAAATGAGATTAAGAAACTAGGAGGATACCCTGTGATATTGTCATTAGAATTCCAGAAGGAAGTTCTGTAGCAGATGGGGGGGGGGGAGTTCTAGAATTGTTGAATGAATGATACTAATCTTAAGGTCCAGAAAGTCCAACAAATCTCAAGCAGAAGAGATGAAAAGAAAATTATAGTAGACATTTTATAATGAAACTGAAAAACTTTAAACAAAGCATTTTTAGAATTTTCACGTGTAGTAAAAATATCAATAAAGAGAATGCAATGAACACATTTTGAGCCCAGCCGGTGGGTTCAGTGGTTGAGCCTCGACCCATGAACCACGAGGTCCCCGATTCAGTTCCTGGTCAGGGCACATATCTGGGTTGTAGGCTTGATCTCTAGTAGGGGGCATGCAGAAGGCAGCCGATCCAAGATGTTTCTCATCGATGTTTCTGTCTATCCCTCTCTCTTCCTCTCTCTTTAAAAATAAATAAATAAGACATTTTGAGGCAAAACAAAAACCAAATATTTTATTGCCAGCCAACCTCCTCTGAAGAAAATTCTAAAGGATGTACTCAGGTAAGAAAAGGAAATGATTCCTGATGGAAGGTCTGAGAAGTAAGATGAATTATTAAGATATTAGTAAATATGGAGGTATACTTAAATATACATTGACTATATGAAACAGTAATAAGAATGTGATATGTGGTATTAAAATGATAGAATTAAAACTGAATAAAAATAAAATACTGGATAAAAATAGCAATAAAAAAAGTAAGAGGGCATAGTAATCAGCTAAATTATGCTGTTGGTTCTATTTGAGGAGAGGTTAGTGTTTAACTTTAAACTTTAAATAAATGTGTTTAAATCAGCGATTTTCAACTGGCGTGCTGGAGGAATTTTTAAAACATTCAATACCTGACTGTTTAGTCAGGGGCACTGACCTCTTTTCCCTTGGATTATCAAATAAAAAAATGTTAACAGCCTGCACAACAATAGTCATCCAGTGTGAATGAGTCAAAATGATACCTTTTATTTTTATCAGATCAGCAAAAAGTAAAATATATTTTTTGGTGTGTCACAGAATTTTAGTAATTAGTTTATTGTGCCATGAGATGAAAAACGTTGAAAGTTGCTGGTTAAATAGCTAAGAAAACTACTAAAAGAACAGAAAGTATAACTTTCAAACTAGTCAAGGGAGAGAAGATAATCCACATAGAATTAAAAATCAAACTTCTAAACAACTTGTAAGTAAAAAAAATTATAATAAAAATTAGAAATTACTTGGTCCTAAACAATAAGAATGCTACATATCAAAACTTTAAAGGCTGAATTTCGAGTCTTTTTCCCTAATTTGTTGAGCTATGCATAGATGAAGACTCCACTTACCCCTCACCTGCCAGAAGTGACTATATCTCCTCCATCTCATAGGGTAACTTTTTACAAAGCTCCATCCTGTATAACAAGTTGGTGTTTAATGGGTACAGAGTTTCCATTTGGGAAGATGAAAAAATTCTGGAGATGAATGGTGGTGATGGTTGCTCAACAATGTAAATGTACTTAATGCCACAAAACTGTACACTGAAAGATAATTAAAATGGTAAGTTTTGTATTATGTGTATTTTACCACACATGAAAAACCTCCCCAAAAAAGCAAATTGACAAAAAAAAATAACGCCCAGCTGGCGTGGCTCAGCGGTTGAGCATTGACCTAGGATCCAGGAGATCGCAGTTCAGTTCCTGAGCAGGGCACATGCCCGGGTTGTGGGCTCGTGACCTAGGATCCAGGAGATCGCAGTTCAATTCCTGATCAGCGCACACGCCCGGGTTGCGGGCTCGATCCCCAGCAGGGGACATGCAGGAGGCAGCCGATCAGTGACTCTCTCGCCATTGATGTTTCTATCTGTCTCTCCCTCTCCCTTCCTNGTGACTCTCTCGTCATTGATGTTTCTATCTGTCTCTCCCTCTCCCTTCCTCTCTCTCTGAAATCAATAAAATATATTTAAAACAAACAAAAACTAACAAAGTAAAATTTCCCATAACACTAACCAAGAACAAAAAGGGGGGGGCTGACAAATAAACATTATTAGGACTAAAAAAACAGTACTAACTCAGATGCAGCAGCAATGAAATATAAGAGGATATTATGAACATAATAGCATAACATTGTAAAGATATTGATTCTCCCTAAATTGATCTACAGTCAGTATAGGTATAACCAGAATTCCAATAGAGTCTTCAAGGAACTTCATACACTGATGCTAGAGGAACATGGAAGAACAAGATGCCAAGAATGTCTGTGACATTCTGTGTGTCTGACCCTTCTAGATATTAAGACAAAATCAGAACAAGACTATGGAAAAAAACATAACATTTCATTCTTCTCTCATACCTTACACTAAAATCAAGTCCAGGCAAATTAAGACTTAAATGTGAAAGGCAAAATAAATACAACTTTTAGAAAATAGCATATAGGAAACTATCCTTATGGTCTCAGAGTAGGGAAGGATTCCTTCGGACCCAGAAAGCACAAACAATGAAAGATTGATAACCTTGACTACATTAAAATAACCAAGTTTGGTTCTTTCTGGAAGACAACAGAAAGCCATGAACTGGGAGAAGATTTTTGCAACTTGTATACCTGAAGAGAGATCGATATCCATAAAATAGAATGAACTCTCATAGATCAAAAAATAAAAGAAAAATAACATAGAAAAAGGAGCAAGAACCAGTCATCACACAGAAAATTAATGGCCAATAAATACATAAAAAAACACTCAACCTAAATTGCGCANGGAGCAAGAACCAGTCATCACACAGGAAATTAATGGCCAATAAATACATAAAAAAACACTCAACCTAAATTGCGCAATACAAACTAAAAATACGTGGAAGGACTGCAGATGAGTGCGAATTTGTAGAGAGACTCTGAGGACAGTGGCATACCTGGTGAAGGTGGGTGTACACACACCCTGTCCCACTCCTAGGTCTGCACCCGGGAGTGGTGGACCTGCAAATGGGGTCTTTGGGCCACATGGCGTCAGTATCATCTGAGAACTTGTTAGAAATGCAAATTCTCAGGCCCCACCCCAAACCTACAGAATAAAACTCCAGCGGTAGGACCAGGACTTTGTGTTTTACCAAACCATCCAGGTGATTCTGGTGCTGCTAAAATTTGAGTCATATAAAAAGACATCCACAGAATTGTGTATGTTACCAAAATGAAGCATTGTGTAGGTCCAGTCACTGGATGGATAAACAAAAAATACAGCTCACAAAAGGGAATGACCCCAGTTTGTGCTTGTTAACTGGGAAGAATCTCAAAAACACAGTGTTGAGTTGAATAAGCACGTCGTAGAATACACATGCTGTGATTTTATATGTGAACTGGAAAACTAGCAGTGTGTCATTGAGAGAGAGATAGTAAAACTGTAACAGAAATCAAGAGAATTAACCCAAAATTCAGGATAATGGTTGCCTTGGGAGGAGAGGCGGCAGAGGGGGACGTGTGCCTGAGGAGGGGCACACAGTGAGGCTCTAAGGTACTTGCTGGTAATGCTCTGTTCCTTTAGCTAGATGACAGGTACGTGGCTGCTGATGTTATTTCCAAACTGTATATATGTTGTATACATTCACTTGTAGGTAAGCTGTGAGAGGCAGTGTTGTCTAGTGGTTAATGGCATGGGATCTGTAGTCAGGCTGCCTGAGCTCCAATCCTGTGTTTTCTCCTTCCTTATGCGACCTTAGGAAAGTTTCTTAATCCTTCAGTGCCTGGGGCTCTGCATCTGTAAAGTGGGAGTTCCCGTAGTACTAACCTCGCAGGTGGATGTACAGTGAAGTGCCTGTTATTTTTGTTATGTGTCATATATTTCACAACAAAATTCCTCAGGAAAAAAGTGGAGCTAGGCTGTCTCTCTCCCTCTGATTGTTTGGTATAATAATTTTGCTCAGGTGCAAAGAAATTAATGGTACTGCAGTGAAAGATGCTTTTACTTAAATTTGAATGTATTTTTCTCCTGTTGAGTTTTTAGTTTTAATCTCTGTTTTATATCCTGCTTGTTAGCAACATTCTTATGTTGATTTTCCCTACTGTGATTGTTTTTAGAAAGCTTTGCAAAGCCAGCTGACAGGTATGCGTGAAAAGGCACCCAACACTTTTTTTTAATCTCTCCAAGCTGGCCTGGTCTTGCTCACCAGCCTGCCTCTCTCCATGGCAACAAATCCGCCCTCCAGGGAGTGCTAACCTGTGGGCAGGGTTGTCGCTGGGCAGGTGCGTGCCGGGTCAGAGCAGGCGCCCGGCTTCCTGAGAAATGTTACCCGCTGCAGCAGGGCTTACAGTGATCTCCGAGGAACAAACAGGGCAGAGAAAAAGCAAGGTCTTCAGTTTGCCTTTCAGGGAGAATGGCAAACCAAAGCCTGAGAAAGAATCCCGTGTCTGACAGATGAAACAGTTGAAAGGAAAAGCTACAAAATGAGCAGTTTTATAGGTAACATAGAATATCAGGCTGAAGGTCAGAAAAATTCTGGTTGGCCTTTGAGATCTTAAGACAGTCAGAACTTTGGGGGCGAAGCTGTTCTCTTTGTCAAAACCGTCGTTCAGATTCATTCATTTGAGAAATATTAAGGGCCTATTTGTGAGCCAAGGCCTGCTGGACCCTGGGGAAGATTCTGAAGAAAACAGACCCGGTCCCTGCCCTTTGGGAGTTTAAAGTCTAGAAGGGGTTACAGAGCATAAGGAAGTTACAATATGAGTGACTGAAGAGAGGAGCTAACCTAGAGCAAGGGATGTCCAGACTTCAGCTCGAGGAATAAATACAGATAAGCCAGGAAATGCAGGAGTGAGGTGGAACTGGGGAGGGGAAACATGACGCATTCAAGGAACCCAACAGTCAGTAGGCTGACTGGGCTGAGCACACGATAGTGTCAGCGGCTGGGGTGTGAGAGGCAAGCAGGCCAGGTCATGTTGGACCTTATGAACTCAAGGTTAATGGCTGTGAAAATGGGTTGTAGGAAAGGAAGGCTGTGGTATGATGTAGAATTTATGCACTTCGTTCACTCTGAACCCTAATCAGAAAACATCCTGTACAATCTGACGGCAAAAACACGACACGTGGATTGTTTCCCTACCCATATATGTTCCTCACTAATTTAAGCCATGTTGGGAAATCAGAGAAACTTAATTTATTTCAAATGCACTACTTAGGAGTTATATAAAATGATGTTATCTTGCAGGTGTGACATAGTTGCCCATATCTGTGTGTAATTTGGAAGGAGGGTACTGCACACAAGCCCTGGCTCTCTGTGTCTGCTTGGGAGGCCCACGGATGGAGAACTCAGGCCGGGAAGCCCAGGCTGGAGGTTGCCTGATGGCCCCCTGCCTACGGGGAGCTGTTCTGCTCGTGTCATGCAAATTAGAAATACAGGCGGGAGTACTCATCCTAATCAATTTTACCCTAAATCATCATTTCTGTGATGAAGAAAGACCCACTATAATTTCAGAGGCTATAAGCCCTTCCTTAGCCAGAAGGATTCATTTCTCCCCAAATGTAGCCCAGAACCACAGGTTTGCCTATTTAATCGTGGGAGGTAGGGGAGTGGAGGGTTCCTGGCTCCAAGCCGAGGGGGAGGCTTGTTTGATAGAGAATCAGAAGAGCCACGCTCGCCCCAGGGTGGGCAGCCTAAGAGGGAGGAAAGACCGCACAGCAGGTGTGAAGATCAAGATGTTTCTTCACTTGAAGTTTTGAATGGGCCTGACTTTGAGTTTTGCCAGGTTCATCCGGTTTTGTCTAAAAATTTAGCAGGACAGAAAGGGGCAGGGCCTCAGGCAGGACTTTGGGGTTTTGCTGTTTGATTATTTGGCTTTTGTTTATATTATGTGTAGAGTTGTGTGTGTTTTTCTTTGCTTTTTATTTTTAATTTTCCTCTTTCTTTCAAGCCATTCTCAACAAACTGCCAATACAGTCTTCCTCTCATGATATCGTTTCCAGTAAGAAATTCAAGAATAGTTGAGCGCTATCCAGAGTGAGTTGCGAGGGAAGCGAGGATTAGCACAGGGATAGGTTTGCGAAGCCCTGGCCCTCGCGCCTCCTCTCGGGCAGACACGGGCAGACTTAGCTGGGTGATCTTCCCGACCCCAGGGTGTTAAGTCCATTTGCTGTTTTGAACGGTCTTGACAAAGGAACTAGAAAATTAAAAGGAGGCTCTGTGGACAAGCCGGAATGTGAGTGCAGTGGGGTTTTTTCTTTCTTTCCTTCCTTTTTGTTGGAGTTCGCCCTGAAGTGTAGCAGAGCTGGCAGTTTTGTGAATGTGGGTCATGAAAGAGGAACGATACCAGGCTAACATCCGAGAGCGGGGCTGCTGGCGTCCTGGCGGTTGGGCTGCACAACGTGTAGGCCTCTGTAATTCCAGTAAAGTTTTCTTTTGACGCCTGAAGATCCTGAGGCAACACTCCTGGGATGGACTCTCCCCTCAGTCAGGCTGGAGGTTTGGGGGTGAGTCTCCTGGAAAGAATATTCAAAATAGGCAAGTGTGTAAACACTCAAAGAAGATGCTTGATATTTTGTCAGAAAGGAGTAAATTACTAATATTACTAACAGGAAAGGGCATGGGCAAAGCCCAGATGCCCAGGTGAAGGGTCACAAGTCCTCCGTTTCCCAAAACCCGCCTGTAGAAATCTCATCTCTATAGGTTGGACCTAACGGCCCTCGGTCCCCCCTGCCTGACACTCAAGGGGCTTATTATGAGGTATTAAGTCTGTAAGCACCAATATACTGTAAAATCTGTAGAGCATTTCCCTAATGAGAGGAGTTCTCTTGAATGCTCTGAATGCTGTTTTTTTGCATCCGGGCTCAGAAAACCATGTGTCTTGATAAGGAAGAGAGTAATCAGTGGAGTGTTAAGAGTAAAACACCCACCAAACACTGACAGCAGGACACTAATGTAGGTATTAAGTGCTAGTTTGTGTTACCTTGATAATAAGAGGTTTATTTTGGCAAAAGACAAAAGTTCTTTCTATGAAATCTTTCCATGAGTTAGCTGAACTAATTTCTACCAGCAGCATATGGTTTTCAAAAACCATGCCTCAAATGCAGAAAGGAAGCCCCCCCGCCCCATCAATTACAGGTCTTACTGCAGTTTGAAGACTAGATGGAATCTGCGTATTTGTTTCTTTCTGTGTTTAGCATAGTCAGATCCCCGGGATGTAGGAGTCAGCCTGTGGTCCAGCTCATGACAGCCTCTGAACAACAAACGCCAGCCCCGCATCTTTCCTCGGTGCTGTTCAGGTGGCGTTGGAGCAGGGCTGTGTGGCCACTTGGTTGGAACATCGGGGCATTTTAAAGGGCCTGCCGGGGAGGACTGAGAAGGAAACGGTCGGTTACGAACACTCATTGAAATGTTTGGGATTCAAACTAAAATAAACACGCACAACCTAAGAAACCGGGGCGCTGGCGCCAGGGGCAGAGAGGTGGACGATGCCTGGCGGGCGGTCTTACCCTCTCCTGTGGGGGTGGGGAGCGCTCCCCAGTCTGTGAGCTTGTACCTGCTGGCACACAAACCCCTGAGGGACCCAGTGACAGTGCTGCAGACAGCAGCTGTCGTTATTCCAGTGTCAGTATATTCCGCCTCAGTGGATTCCCGCACCTTGGGCAGGGACAGAAGCTGGTGTGAGCGGCCCCAGAGCAGGGCAAGGGACATGTGTGGCTCAGCTCCCAGCAGTGAGCCTAAGACATGCCACCTCCGGGGTGAGTTGCCAGGGTCTGAGCACACAAAGAGCCCTCTCCAAGTCACAGCCACCCCCACCCACTCAGTCACCATAGATCCCTGCCAATGTTCCAAAGCCGGGAGAGCTTTTCTACCTCTTAAATCTAAGAGGCCTGCTCAGAATGCAGAGAGGATTCCTCCTCTTCCCATCACACTCCATCACTGCAGGGCATCAGCAGATGGAGGCTGCCTTTTATATGCTAATACTTGGAACCCATTAATCCTCCCGTTCCTGCCACCACACCCTCCCTCTGTAAGGCCTGTCTGTGCCATCCAAATGGCAAACAGAAGTTCCCACCCGGCGAGAACTATAGACTTTCAGGCATGGTTACAGCCTGAGGCCTGAAATGGATGTATTTTTGACACTCCAGCGCTGATTCAGATGTGGGCTGGTGGGAAACAAGATTCTACGAGAGGTGGATGACTTAAGGCAAAACTCTTGGGAGGAGAAAGACATTTTGCGTCTAACGAGTAAAATGATAGCTCACCTTCACTGGCCGCGGACCGAGTGCCGGGCGCTGTGCTGAATGCTTTAGGGAAGGATCTCGTTTATTCCTGGCAGGAACCTCTGAGGGCTGCGCTATCATTACCCCAGATTTATAAGAAAGGAAAGAGGGGCTCCAGGAGGCTGAGGGATTTTTCCAGAGCCACCCATCTGGGCAGCAGTGAAGCCAGGATTGGACCTTAGGCAACCCACGCCCATCCGTGAGCCCTTTGTGTGCTCCACAGAGGAGGTGAAAGCACTGAGGACGGCCAGAGAAATGGCAAGGACAGCGGGGGCGCTTGAGGATGTATCAGTCTCCTTGCACCTTGACATTCGAGGCGGTGGTTGTGAAAGGGGAGTTCTTCAGCCCCCCTTCCTTCTGTTTTTCTGCCTGGCCTTTCTCTGCTCCTCCCCCTCGGGGCCAAGCCCTGTGCAGGGTGCCAGGTCAGATCCCTCCCCGGTGGCCATGTCTTTCTGCAGAGCCTTGCTGATCAATATTGAAAGCTTCAGCCAGAGAAGAAAAATGTTCTCAAAATACAAACTCGTTTCCCAGGGAGGCTCCAGCCCCTCTCTGGTGCGGTCCGACCCGGCGCTGGGCGAGGTCAGGAGCGGCCGGGCTGCTCCTCCTGCGGCCTCCGAGCGGCCGCCGCTCGGCCTGCCTGCGAGCCCGCTTCCCTTTCGCCGGCCCCGCTGCACTGTCCCCCTCGCTGCTCTCCTGCCGCTTCCACTCATCCCCCCCACACCCCCAGTCTGTGGCACGCGTACACCCTTGTGTTCGGCCTCGGCACCAAACCAGCAGCGCCTTCCTATTTTACTCACGCATTAAGCAGTTTCTTTCGTTGTCACCAAGCCAGGCGGCCCCTGTCAGACAGAAATTGGAGAAGAAAATGGGAGAGAGAAGCAGTTCTTCCCCTGCAGAGGAAGGTGTTTCTTCAGGTACCGGCCTTGGTCGAAGCCGGGCTCGGCAGTGGTGTGAGGCCTGGAGCGAGCTGGCTCTGGAATGTGGGCGCTGCTGCGCTCGGGGGGCCGGCAGCCTGGCTGAGCAACCGAGGCCAGGGCAGGAAGCCTCCCGAGAGTGCGCTCCGGGGTTCGTTGAGTTGATTCGTTTATGAGGAAAGCTCCCTGATCGTGCCCTCATTTTACCTGAAAGCTGTTCCTGACTTCATTTTAATACTGGGTCTCCTGCAGCGAGAAGGCAGTGTCGGGGCGCTGGCCCAGGTTCAGTGGCACCGTTGCTGAGTGCAGCGCCCAGTCCAGCCCTCGAGTGGTCCGCGGGCTGCCCTTGGAGAAGCCTGGCAGAGACAGGCCTTGTGGAGGAGCCCGAGCTGGCGGCGGTGTTGGAAGAGGGGGGCCCAGGGTTCTCCCCGAGTTTCCCGCTCAGGCATGGGCACCTGGGTGATACCTAGAAGCTGATGGAGTTGAGGCTCTAAAAGGAGAGGGAAATGGCTGGGTAGGCCTACCACATAGTAAAAGTGTGAGGCGAAACCCCACAGCACTCCTGTGGTATGGCGAGCCTAAGCCAAGAAATTAACAAGTCATGTTCTAGGGCTGGAAAAACCCATGGTGTCCCCAAGTAAAGGCAAATTTTCAAATCTCTGTAGATAACCCAGGGCACATGGTGTTTACTGTTTAACCCCTACTGAAGAGAAGCTTAGATCTTACCTTCAAACCCCCCATGAGAAAGAATAAAGAGATACAATGGAGCCTTCCCTCTGGCACTCCCCCAAAACCTAATTGAACAGGTTGAGAGAAACTTCAAACATGTGAGATTGAATCAGAAGCTGAGAAGAGGTGGCTTTGGAAAAGAAAAAAATAGAAATTCACAGTGATGAAAAATATGTCATTGAAATAAAGTAACTCACTGAATGATTAAATAGTAAACTGCTAAAGTAGGAATAGGTGAATTGCAAGATATCACAGACAAAAAAGAAAACAGAAAGAAGCTGAAAAGAAGGTAAAAAGAAACGATCTTTAGGAGTTTATGGAAAAAATATAAAAGAAGGGAGGAAATATTCCAAAAATTCACAGCCGAGAATTTCCCAGAATAAACTATCTTCTCAGTTTGAAGAAGTAAAACTAATTTCTAACCATGATAAAGAAAAAGGAATTGTCATTGTTATGTCCTAGTGGAACTTCGTACCATCAATAACAAAACAAAAACAATTTAAAAGCTACCAGTGAGAAAAGACATTGACTTCTAAAGAAATTATACAAGACAGACTTCTCCTCAACAAGAGAAGTCAGAAGTAAATGGAATATTATTTCCAAACAGCCGGTGGAAAATAATGGTCAATCTAATGTTCTATACCCAATAAAGCTACCATCTAAGATTAAAGGCAAAAAATAAAGTATTTTGTGGTCCAAAGACTGGGTGAGTTTATCCCTCACAGGCCCTCATTAAAAGAATTACTAAAAATGCGCTTCAGCAAAAGAAAATCAAATCCATAAGGAAGGAGTGAACTTCAAAAAGCAAACAAGTTAGTAGGTTGGTTTCTTTACATTAGTTGTAAATGCTGATAATGGCTAATAGTCATAAAAAACAAGGCAAAATAAAAATAGTAAGTAGTAACATGGAAGATGAAAGGAGGCGTTCTAAGATCCTTTTATTTCAGGAGGTGGACATAAATATTAACTCGTATATTAAAAATTTAAATATAACCGCTAAAGGAACAGAAATTGTAAACTGAAACTTCTAAACCAGTAGAGGGAAGAAAAAAGTGTTAAAGGAAGCTATCAGCCTGATAGAAAGCAGGAATGAAGGAAAAGAAAACGTAGGAAATAGAAAGTACAAAATAAGTGTGTGTCTATCTATTGACCTATCTGTGTGTATGAATAATGGCAAAACATATTTAACTTACCTCTTAATCACTATAGGGTTATTTTTATTTTAATTAACCATGTATTACTAATGAAATGCTCTTAAAATAATAAAAAGTTTAGAGGTCCTACTTTGCCTTGTGGATTTTATCATTGAAAATGTCAGGGTGAGAGGTAGCGTTGCAAATGACTATGGTTTCTTGCCTAAGAGACCGGGGATACTGCTAACTAAGGATGACAGATGGGGAAGACCCCCTTTGGAAGTGAAAATAAGTTAACATTTATTGACGTCTTCCTAAGTCTTAATTGGGGTCTACCAAGGAAATTAGGAAGAGACATTGGAGAGAAGGTGTGCCATGTGTCATGGAAGCCCAGACACAGGAAGAGGACTTGAAGTGTGTGGTCGCAGGCAGCTCCAAAGAGAAGGGGAATTCAGGAAGAAAAGATAGGAGACTTCAGGGATAAAGAAGATGGTCAGCACTGTCAGTGCTGGAGAGAAAGGGTGAGCAGAATGAGTATTGAGAAAAAACCTTTAGATCAAAGTTTAAGAGAACAGACTAATTGAGTGTTGGGCCTACTGGTAAGAGATTAAGGGAAAAAATGGGAAGTAGGAAATCAAGGAAGCAAAAATGATTTTTCTCTCCAGAAGTTCAACACCAAAGGGAAGACAGAATGGATGAAGAGAAATGCAGGCGCAAGGGAAGTGATCTTGGAGTAGACAACAACCATTTTTAAGAATAAAACCTTAATTATCTAGGGCCCTCAGGGAAATGAATTTCCTGGGTAACTATGTTTTCTAGATGACCTAATGCTGCCTTTTAAAATATCGACGCTATCCCGGCTGGGCGTGGCTCAGCAGTTGAGCATCGACTAGGATCTACTCGATCGGGGTTCGATTCCTGGTCAGGGCACATGTCCGGGTTGCGGGCTTGATCCCCAGTCGGGAGTGTGCAGGAGGCAGCCGATCAATGACTCTCTCATTATTGATGTTTCTGTCTCTCTCTCTCCCTTTCCTTTCCTCTCTCTGAAATCAATAAAGATATTTTTTTTAAAAGTTCCCCAATTTTTTAAATAAATAAATAAAATATCGAAGCTAGTTTTGGTCATTTTTACAGTACCCAAAGTCACCAGCAATAGCAATATCAGGGGGTCTAGTGCCTTTAACTATGAATGATATACTCTTTCATGACTTAAATAAAACCATTTCTCAGTGACTGTCCCTTGACTGCAGGACCTGTTGAGGCCTATAGGACTGTTTGCCTCTATACTAGCCACAGGAGCTATCTTGCATTCTTTTATGTTTTTTGATATCTTTGAATATCTTTTTTTTACTGTCAGCGATCTTTTCCCATAATTTGCTGTAATTTTCTAAGTCTAATCTGCTCATAAGGTGGATTAAGGTGTGGTCAACCCTGACAGATGAATCTACTTCAGTATATTGACTCAGCCAAGTTTCTGAACTTGAAAAGCTGAAGCCCAGACTCTGGCCAATCACCAAGCTAATAAATATCACCCCGATATTTATAGTAGCCTTTCTGTATGTGGTTAAATCTCAGATGTACAATATAATATAAAACCAAGAGTAACCTGGAGTGAGCATCTGAGAAACTCTTTTGAATATACGAGCTGCAGTATATAAATTTAGGGACATTTGTCTCTTTAGCCAAAGACCTCTTGGAGGCCTTTTTGTTTATCTCCTGTTCTCAGCAGCAGAACTCTCAGAGAGGGCGGACTAGCTGTATCATCCCTCAGGTATAACAGATTTCTGCCTCTAAGTTGATAATTCTCTCAATACTGGTAGAAAAGGGAGTGTCTCTCCCACCTAACACCCATCCCTCCAGAAGAAAAAGCATTTATTGTGCGTTAACTAAAATAGCCTCTGCTTTGCCACCTTCTGTCTGCTACTTGGGCTGTACAAGTAGACTTGAGTTTCATTGACTCTACAACCTGGAATCTTAACAATCTTGAGATCATTCACTATAGACCTTGGTCTTAAACAAATGCAGCAATGGGGCTAAATACAGGTCTCTTTTAACATGAGAGTTGGTTAATTCATAAAGGGTCTTAACAGAAGAATGGAGTGTTTCTGGTTTTCTGAATTCTATAACTCACAATTCTGAAAGCGCAAGGCAAAGACATTCCAAGTAGGGAAAGGCCACTAGTAATATCAGGATGGTCTCTTATTAAAGGTCCAGAGGCTGGCTTCAAGAGGCCTTCCTTATAGGGTGACATTTACTATCTTGGTGATTTACCGGAGTCTGGTTTTTAGCTTTCCAGGTTCAGAAACTAGTTTAATCAACATACCAAGAACGGATGCATTACAAGATTGATCTGCAAACCAAAATGCCAGTTGACATTTATGTGGAAAAATATAACTGACTGATATTCTCAAAGTGTAAGTGATGAGCTCATTCTTTCCCATGTAGGCAGGCCTGCACATCATAGGGAGGCAGATCATAAACAAGGTTATTTGGTGATGAACATGAAATCATGGCCTATCAGTGAAAGTAAATTTCTTTGAAGTCTCCCAGCTAAGACTCTCTGTCCTGATCATTATTTCGATAGACATCTGCCAATGTTTTGTCTCTCTTTTTTTTTTTTTTTGGTATCTTGAGGCTAACCTATGCCCACACTCACCCAAATCACCTCCCACATTGGTCTTTCTCTACAACTTAATACTTTCCATCAGCTTATATCAGTTATTCTTTTTTCTTAAGTTTACAGTTTAAAACTCAGTGAACAATCTTATTTTCAAATTTTGGGGGCATCCCTCACTGTACTTACATTGGTCAAGAGGAGAGTGAAGCATAGACGAGGGTGGGTGGAACAGCTCACCCACACCAGGGTTTATCAGTCATTTACCAGTAAAACCTTCACATTTTTTACTACATTTCTATGCTACATGTATATCATTTTCCTTTAAGTCAAGTCACTTTTTAAAAACAAATTTATTTTGAAAGATTTTACTTTTTACTCCCACCATAAATGGAAAATGACTCTCCTTTGTTTTAAAAGGAACGTGATCCTAAAAATAAGCATACTGAAAATAAGAGCTCTTATTTTTCCCATGTACTTTTTAAGCTAGACACTATTTGTCACGGAAAGCCCTGAGCCTGAGCAATACACTAGCATCAAACTGAGACTCTGTGCTTGACATCGTCACAAACCTCAAAAGAGGACCGAGAAGCAGAATAATTTAGGAGGCGTTTAACGTACCTGTGTCTTGTCCATCTACCATCTAAAAGATAATGTACATTAGGCATCCCACACCTGGTGAAAAGATGGCCTAGGCTTGAGATCTTAAGGTATCTGAAAACTGTTTACTTAGCTGTAGTGATGCCTCCTTTCCAGCCTCACCTGACCCCAGATTTTGCCAGATTTTGACGGTCTCGTCCCTGCTTCTCCCTGCACAGGTACACACTGGCAGCTCAGGACCTGGTGATGCGTGCCCGTGGTGTCCTGAAGGACAGAGGATGGCGGATATCTAATGACCGGCTGGGCTCAGGAGACGACATTTCTGTATATGTCATTCCTTTAATACATGGAAACAAACTGTCATGAAAATGACTCAGGGGATTGGAAGACCAGAAGGAAGAAAGCTGGGAAGCCTTTGGCAGGGCGGGGCTGGGAAGTGCCCGGCGGAGTTCCAGGCGATGCCACCTCTTCCCAGCCCAGACGGGGAGTTTGCTGCCGAAAGGCCTCTGGCTGTGCTGCGAGAGGATCATTAGGTTTGGGTTTCCTCTTTAGTAATGGGTCTGGATACTCAACAAAGGCAAAACATAAAGGCTGCTACTGAGTGTTGTTTTTTTGGTTCTTTAATAGGCCTCCTAAGTGGCCATTGCCTATTTTGGGCACATACATCATATTTATTTTATCTGGAGTGCTGGGGCAGCCATTTTCAGGTGTAACTGGCAGAAGACTGGCCTGTCAAGCTGCCAGTTTCTCTACGGGTTCAAGTGCTGCGTTGGAACGTTGGGGATCATGCCTCAGAAAGTGAGCGCCCACCTTCTAGTAAGCCTGAGATTGATTTCAGGGAATACTATCTGTGTGTGTCTCTCTCATTCTTTCATGGTGATGATGGGGTGAGGCAGGGATTTTTTTTTTTCCTTGAATCTTAATTGTTTCCATAGACCAGGCCTGGGACTTTCCAGCTCCTTGCTGAGGAATTTGTGTGTCAAAGTCCAGCCCAGGCTGTCGCCGTATCCAGCAGCCCACGCCACCCAGGCGGCCATCTGGAGCGGTGCCCTGGCTAACAGAGTAATGTCTTTGTTGTGTAATAATCTGTTTCTGAGTTGACTTTTCTCACTAAATCAGTGTTTTCATGAAATTTGGGGTATTTCTTTGGGCCAACAGTTCCTCTATTTTCTTCAAGGGTCCCCCTTATGTAGCTTAAGGTTTCTGTTTGTTTTTGAATCTGGGTTTTCATTTCTGGAATGATTGCTTCCAACCCCCAACCCATCCCCCACTGTGCCATGAGGACGCACGTAAAGCAGTGTTTATTACAGCTGTGTAGGAGGTCCCTTGTGTCAGACGGTTTACGGTACCTCATTTCAGCACCATTCCTCTACTTTGGATCCAGGTTCCATGGGCTGAGACAGTCCCCAGGCCCACTCCAAACATGTAAGGAACAGCAGGTCTACTCTCCCCATCATCTTCGGACAAGGCCCACGCAGACTGAATTTGATAAAACGGAATTTGAATTGGGTTCTCTGGTCATTCTCATGCTCTACACCTGCTGCTTCTCCGCAGAATCAGGCCCCAGCCACCCAACCACTCACACCCGTCCCCACTGTTGCTCCGCCTCTGAGTGTTCCTCACAGAGCATCCACAGAAGCGGTGGACAGATCAGATCTACCTGCTGCTTTACTGCCGGGAGGAATTGCAAAATAGATTTCTAGAAATCACTTCTCTCTCTTAGACTCCTGCTCTGCATGGGGGAGCTTGTAGAGCAACATCCAGTTACCGAGGCTTCTTCCTGGAGAGCTCCTGTACTTTCACCACCATCTGGATAACTTCTTGTAATTAAAACATTCAATAGAGTCATTGGTGTGATCCCCCAAAATGCTGGAGAGCCCATTCCAGTTCTCATGTTTGTTTGAATCCCTTCCCCACAGGAGAGGACAGGAACCTTTCCTCCGGGATGGTTCATCGCCTGCATTCCTGGAGTTAGAGGTATTTTCTTAGGAATGGCCTGGAGCCCTCCTATTCTGTGTTCCTCCCACAGTGTGGAAACACTGCCCAGCCTGGCCGTGCAGTACTGTGGGAATTCACCCATCAGGTGGTTGCCAAAATGTTGCCTGGGAAGAACTGGACGACAGCCTTGTCAGGAGTCCTCTTTACCTGATGGCTTCTCTCCTCTCCCGTAAACCTTAGCTACCCCAAACACCTCTGTGGAGGGGAGTTTGTGGTAGACTGTTGGCTTCTCTGGCGGAATATTATGCTGTGGAAAAACATGTAGGCATCCTATATCGGTCTGGTTTATTTTCTGTTCCTGCCTTGACTGCCACATACAAATTGGGAACTTGAGTTTCCCTTGGAAGGCTCCAGGCCACCAGCTTTAGGAAGCAGTCACCTCTTTCCTGTGTTTCTATTGCCTTTCATTATTTTCCTTTCCCGGGTGTCTATGTAGGCCCTATCTTGAGCTTGTCTATCTTTTAATTCGACTGTGAGAGTCAGTTTGTGCGTAGACATGTAGATGTCATGACAACCTTCTAGTCAATTCATCGATTCATTTACTGCCAAGGCATGTCTCAGGAAAAACTCTGGAACCCCCGTATTCAATATATCTTGAAGTCTTGCGCATTTAGTCCTACTGGTTTTAGTTAGACAGGTACCTAGGAATTCTTTTCATAAGCCCCTTTGGTTGGAAAGGGCTCAGGAGCAGAATGAAGCCATGATTCTGTTTGGGGGATAGGAAGAAAACTACAAATGAGGCAAGTAAATCAAATGTGGAAAAATGATTTGTTAATGCGCATAGCAAATCTACCCGGCACTGATATTGCTCTGTGCATTGAGCTTCCTCCGCTTGGGCTTTATTTTTTACCCAGGCCCCACGTCACCCCGTCCCAGAGCAGTAACTGTGTCTGTATAACACGTAGGCCCCTGGAGCATCCCTGGAAAGGTCAAGAGGCAACACATTCAAAATTCTGCAGAATGCATTTATACATGGTTCTGAAATTACGTGGTATCTGAGTTATAGCCAAACCTGCGTCTCCTCATAGCCCCAGAGGAAGTCTTGTTTAATAAAAAGCTTTCAACTTCCTAGTCAGGTCTTTATGGTTGTCTTGGGGGGGTGCGGCCACTTCCTTTAATGAAAGGCTCTTTCGGTTCTAAATCTCCTTGCTGGGCTGGCCCCTGCTCTTTAGCATATCTGGTGACTCTCTCTTCCTTAAAGAGAGCAAACTGCAGCCTTTTCCCAGCGACAGCCAAGCCTTTGCGGGATCACCTGAAATCAGGGCAGGCCGCAGTCGGAGGGGAAGAGGAGGCGCTCTGCGCGCTGTGCTTACATAACTGCTGCTCTTGGGGTGGGACGTGGCAGCTGAAAATCCGGCCAGGCCACGTACTCAGCTGTCTAACAGGACAAAGCCCAAAAAAAAGTGGGAATTTTAGGTCTTTTCCACAGTATTCAGCTTTGGGAAATTTAGGGCATTTAACTTTCTTAATCGTTAGCAACTTACCTCCGTGGGGCTGGATGAAACCAGCTGTGCTCACTCTCCTCTTACTCTTCTCAATACTCACTGACTTTTGGGGAGACCTACAGCTGTAAATAGATATTGGTGGGCAGGGACGAGCGTCCCAGTGCCCAGATTTGGCTGTGGATCGTGGCCGTTCAGGTGGGATTTTCTGGTTTACCAAGAGGAAATGGAAATACTTAGAAAAAAACCCGCCCAAATCTGTAAAATTCTGATTCTCCTCCTGATCTCACCTCCTTTCTCATCTGCCAATCAACTTTATTTACAAAGCCAGGAGTGGTCGGTGGTTTTCTTTCCGCCACAGTTTGCGGGTCTAACCTTTCCTTAAATCACCCAGCGGTTCCACTCCTTTCAGAGTGAATCTGTTAAGCTTTTATGAGCTTCTATTTTCAGTTAAGTTAGTGCTTCTGGGACATTTGGAGAAAGCAGTGAGAGTCATTGTCTATGCAAAGAACAACCAGGCTGACCCAAAAAGTTACCAGATCTAAGAAAAAGGTAAAAAGCGTACGTTAGGAAGTTGGATTTTTGAGAATTTGCAATTGCAGAGAAATTTTGCAGCCTGCACACCATAGCCCATCTTGCTGAGCAAACTGGTTCTGTGTGGGTGACATGTGTACACTGGGATTTTTCAAAAGACACTACACGAGCAGCCCGATTTGCCTCTTCGTGAGCACCGTGGCAGCTCTTTTCAGATCTGAGTGCCAGTCTGGGGAGTACCGCACTTTCTAATCCACGACCTTATCTGTAAATAGCTTTAATTTTTCCTTTGCGTCTTAGATGAAGTTTTGTTCGTGCGGAGACCAGGTAGATGGTGACCAAACGAGGCTGTACGTGTGCTGTTGTTTTCTACTGTGATGTACTTGAAGGAGAACCTCGTGGCCCCCACTCTCCCAATCCTCCATAGTATTTTGTGTTTTGGGGAGTCCTGAGGTTACCCCTTTACTCCTGTTTTGCCTCCATTTCCTTTGTTTCTCCTGGAGACCCAGGGAGGCCCACAGTGGAGATCATTTGTTAGGAATGTATCATAAAGTCTGGGTTTCCAAGAATAGCCTCTGTGCAGTGAATGAGAGGAATCTGCCCGGAAATGGTCTCAGAAGTGTGTACCTTTATGCTTTGTGATTGTGAAACCTTGACTTTTGTAACCTAAAAGTGAAAAACGTACAGTAATGGGGATCTATTTTGTGTGTTTCGAAACTTAGGTGCAATGTTCCCTGGAAAAAGCTAAAGAAATGTATATGCTCAATGACATTTTAAAATAAAATATTATATATATGTACATAGGACACCTTTAGCAAAACTTCCTTGTGTCATTTCTTTAATTCACTCTGAAGTTCCTTCATAGCAGGTAATGGAATGATACAAGAGTGTGATGGCCTAATGTGGGGTTATCAGTTGAACAGACTCAAAAGCAAATGAAGTCCTAGCCGGTGTGCTCAGTGGTTAGGGTGTCGGCTCACAGACTGAACGTCTCAGGTTCAATTCCGGTGAAGGGTAAGTACCTTGGTTGCAGGCTCAATCCCTGACCCCAGCTGGGGCGCATGCGGAAGGCAACCAGTAAGTGTGTCTCACATCAATGTTTCTCTCTCTCTTTCCCTTTCTCTCCCTTCCACTCTCTCTGAAAAGCAATGGGAAACACATCCTCTGGTGAGGATAGAAAAAAAAAAGCAAATGAAAAAATAATGGATGCCACCATTAATCTTCACAGGAGTAGCAGTACAGGCTATACATTTCAGCGATACCACCAGAAGAGTGACGATAGATACCACTCCCAAGAGGTATTCTTGTTTATTTTATTGAGGTACAGCTGATATACAGTATTATATTAGTTTCAGGTATACAACATAATGATTTGATATTTGGATATATTGTAACATCATCAACACAATAAGTCTAGTTGATATCTGTCACTATACATAATTACAGATTTTTTTCCTTGTGATGAGAACTTGACTCAAGTTCTACTCTCTTAGCAACATTCAAATAGATAATACAGTATTATTAACTATAATCACCATTCTGTACATTATATCCCCATGACTTTTTTCAAAATCTTTATTGTTGAAAGTATTACAGGTGTCCCATTTTTTTCCCCCCAATTGACCCCCTCC